CCATTCGGTAACGCTAAAATCTACCGATCCTAACCAATAAATGAGCCAATATGATAATGTACTACTCAACTTTTGCTAATCACCACAAGTTAATTTTTATATTATCACAAGTATTAAACTGATTTCTATCCAATTATGAAAAATCTGATTCAGCAATGTTTTGAGATAGTCCCCTGACATGAATTCGTGTTGACTTATCCGTTACAACTCGTCTAAGTAGCACAACATGCATGCACCCCGATACTTGCATGTTTTTGATTGGTTGTTACTTGTAAAACAACATTTTTTTGTTTGTTTCACGGCAACATCACCAGTTTGTTGTCATTCAGTGGCTTACATTTTATTACATCTGTCACTTCAATATGGCGAATGCTAACATTAGGCGGCATTTAAGAGAAGCAGAGTTATGATGGGCTGTAGGGATTGTGCAGCAGGTGGGCCACCTTCTACCATTGGTGCGGCGCTTAGTTTACATCACACCGCCATCACCAGAGCCTGGGAGAGATACCAGCTACATCCGCCCGGAGGCATGCATGCTGGGGGTCGACAAAGGGTCACAACACCAGCTCAGGATCGGTTTTTGGTCGTTCAGGCACGGCGTGCAAGGTTTTCGACAGCAACTTCTCTTTGAAATGACCTTGCTTATGCTGCAGGCGGGCGGTACGTAGAAGACTGCATGCAGGTAGTTTGTTCACGAGAAGACCTACCTTGCATACGTATCCCCTTGACGCGTCGACATCGCCAGGCCCGTTTGCAATGAGCCATGGAGCATACACGGTGGACAGTGCAACGCTGGAAAGACGTTCTTTTCACTGATGAGTCCAGGTTCTGCCTAGACTTCACAGATAGCCGTGCTAGAGTCTGGAGATGACGAGGTTAACGGTTTCAGGCTTCAAATTTCTCTATATCGATAATTCAATACGATTTTTGTGATTTTCGTGTAATAAAATTTGACAAATTTATATTTTTTGCTATTTGAAAATCAGGAAAAATAACGTTTAGTCACGTTTGAATTATTGAACAAATCTACAATATTCTTAAGCATTTTGAAGAATTGAGTACATCTATATTTTCTCTTTAGTTTTGATTTACGAATACATAGCAGTTTTAACAGTTAAATATTTAAGTATGTTGAATAACTAGATCTCTCTGGCGTGGGTTCGATCCCCGGGATATGCTTTGGTAGTTTAGCGCGGAGGAAGGTAGTCTAGTACTGGTGTAACTCTCCGGGAACGATGGTTAGGAAACTACCCGCCTATATGACTGAAATACTGTTGGAAAAAGGCGTAAAATGAAACAAACAAACAAACAAACGAATATCTAGATCAATCGACATTATTTCTTAGCTCTTTGCGTCTTAGCATTTAAATGGTTGGTGGTTCATTTCAATTTTATAAATTTACTTCGCATGAACGATAAAAACTTTCATGACCCAATGGTATTTCTGTAAATATCCATCAGAATTTACCTCAAACGATCAATGAGTGTAATTGTTTCCTTGTTTTTTTTTTCTTAATTTTGGACAGATTTCCAATATCAACGGTTTGTCGGTCACCATTATAACAGTCAATCTTTTGAAATGTATAGTTAATTCAGTTAAAATTGACGATGAAAATATGAACATAATATCACATGACAACATAATGTCAACATTTGGACAATTGTTTTAGGCGGAAATTATATCATTTTCCCCAATGTGCTCAATAATTGATCTTGAATATTTCATCCCCGCAAATATCGGTGGTGTCTGCTACCAATACCAAAATGTCATAATATCATATGTATCATTTACAGGCAAAGATAATATCAAAGAATTAAATGTATGACATTAAAAGGTTTCTGTTCTAAAACTGGCTTGGAATCAATACTAGTATATGAATTAAAGAGTCAAATTTAGTATAGTGCCTTCTGAATACCCACTTATCACATGCTTACAAGTTATTAGAGTTTGTTTGTTTACCAATGAATAAAACATGAAAATACATATTTACAATGTATAATGACATATCTTCTAGACTCTATGTCGGTTAAAAGTGTTCGTAATGGCCGAAGATGAAAAAATTCAATAAAAATGTCTTCTTGATAAGCAAATGCTGATCTACTTTTCCACACGCATCTTAAACATCATTATAAACAGAGATATTATTTATCTGTTATTGTTTGTATAAACAGAAAAGAACTCTGAAAAATGCGATCCCATCTTTTGTATTCTGAGGATTTTTTTGCACTAGATTAAGAGGTTAATCTGTTCACAAAAAAAGTACAAAACTCGAGCATAGCCCCTCGTCTACAAAAATAATGATCAAAACGCAATGTTAACAGACAATATAATGTAGAAAGAGACACAGCATATGCATGTTTATAACATATTATGTCCTCTTTGTTAAAAAATTTGTTCTATGGTTTTGACATTTACAATATCTTGATAAAATGTCAAACATCGTTTGGAGAAATTATATAAACGCATGTATAAACGCTGTGATAATTAGATAAATGCGGTACTGATGAAGCATTGCTTTAAATGTTGTGCAGAAACAGAAGCAGGAAATATGTAATGTTCCATTAAAGGACATTTTGATAATTTCGCCATTCATAGTGCAAAACATTTATTTGTATAAATGTCAACAATGTTACAATAAGGAAATAATATTTGTTTCTCACTAGAATTAACTGTATTAAATATGTTGATATGTTGCTTTGTTGTTATATTCGGCTCTCGGGTACCTGTTTGGTGGCTAATCAACTGATTATTGTTGCCGCCGTAAATTGGTACGCAAATTCATCTTTACTTAAAATATATAAATTTTCAATTCGCATGCAAGAGTGATATAAGAATTTCTTTCCTTATATCAATACAATTTTTCTTTTATTCCTCAGATAAATGGACAAACCTCAAAAAAGGAAGTAAATTTGACTGTTGACGCCCAATTTTAAAAGACTTTTAGTAAAAAATAATTTGATTGAATTTCGGATAGAATACACATTATAAGTTATGGTTAAAAACATGACAATAGACAACTTTGATGTAGATCCTTTATGATTTAGAAAGAAAAGAAATAGAAGACACACTATTGATTGTGATCTTGATCTTAAAATTGTCTGTTTTGATAGTCCAAACTATTCTTAATGCCTAAACTAAAAATTGTTCTACAAAATCATTTTCGATTTTAAATTCTAATCTCATATAAAACGTCATATAGATTAATTTGTCTTTTCAATAAATACATATTAAAGTGTAAATAAAATAAATGTATAAATTAATATAGAGTTATCGGTGTTATATTTTATGTAAATTGATGAAAAAAATAAAATGAATAAAATAGATAATTATATAAAATAAATGAATAAATATAAATAAATAAAAAAAATAATTAAAGTTTTACCAGTTTCATATATTGATAACCGATGCTTTAATGAAATATGAGGAACGACAAATCGACATTATAATCTGCTTGCGTTAACATCTCTTCATGTGGCCAGGTAATACCTAAATTATTGTCTACACTGTGCGTTATTAAGTTTCTTTTTTTAAAATAATTTTCACTTATAGTGATGGATTAATTTGTCAGGATAGAAAGATGGACAAACCTATTTAAGGTATTGAGCGTAGTAAGGGTAAAATACAACAGACCTGAGACTGCGGCTTTGAACAGATTCGCAGCAAATTATAAAACTACCCAGTAGAATTAATCACAAATTTAATAAGTATTAAACATATTCAATAGACAGAAATAAAGAATCTCAAAAGAACGTACAAAACGACAATTTGAAAATGTTGCAGGCTCGTTTTGATTGAGCCTGTTCATGGACGGTACGGTGCAAGTTACCGTCCACGCCCCCTAAATCGGCTTAAGCAGTATTCAACAATTAACATGCCCTGGTAAAATTTGGAATTTTGGAACATCCGCAGATGTATTCATATGGCGATTATCATGGAACCTTCAATGTGACACGTTAGTGCCATTCCATGAAAAGCTGCATATGGTCCTCAATTAAAAAATGCATTTGACCTAAACGAAAAAAAATGAATGGAACTATATAAATGGGATTTTGAAAGGGGACCAGAGGTTATGAAGCCTGCATAGCACATATAGTACGTCATAAGTCAAATTTAAAAAGCATGCCACATATCCTAAAGAAGATTCAACAGTATTCAAGTGAGGAATACTGAAGTAAAAGCTTTGGCGATCATAATATTTAGAAACCATTAACTTGAAAAGACATGTAGCTCTTATTTTAATTTTAATAGTTTATATACAATTTATAAATATCAAACTTTATTTTATTTTCACTATAAATGATTAAAAGTGAGTCATTTTTGTGATGTTGTACAAATGTGTTGGAAATTTATATTTACTGTATATTAAGTTTTACATGAATAGATAAATCCGAAACTGTGTTATACATTTTGTTTAATTGTTTTTATGATCACTTTCTAAAATAATAAAATCACTTTTCTAGTATAGAAAGTTTTGTATTTTCTCTTTATTTGGGAATTTTTTAATGAAAACGGGTCAAATTTATGTTTGGAATTGGTTGGAATTACGTTGGAAACTAGTTGGTATTACGTAAGTAAGTGGTTGGAATCATGTTGGAAACTGGTTGGATTCACGTTGGGAATAGGTTGGAAAGTAGTTGTATATACGTTGAAAAGAGGTTGGATTTATGTCATTTTATGACGTTGGATTGACGTCGGACTCTGACGTCTAAAAAACTTTCATATACAACTAAATTCCAACGTCTATCCAACGTCGGACTCTAATGTCTGAGCAACGTTGAAACAACGTCATGTGTTTGCTGGGATTGCACCACTCGAATAGCAATCCAACCTTCTCAATTTCAATATTTTGAGCTCCCAGATCGGAAAAAATACACCGAGATAATAACAAAATTGCAGAATGAATATTATGAGGAAATATTATGAAAATGTCAACCCAACCGCATAAACTTATTCCATATTCATATATTCATTTATCATTAATGAGGCGACACATTGAATATCCTGCTTAGTCCCAGACAGTTTCCCGGAACATGAGTTATTTAGCCGGGTGATATTACTCAAACAGGCTGCATTGGACAAATAATTTTAGCACTTTTCAGAACGAGATTTCCAGTATTAATTCAGAATGGATGGCAATCTTATAGTGTATTTATTTGTAATTTTCTTCTTTACAGCAGGTAAGCTTAATTCATTCGTACAATAATCATATTTAAACATAGTTAAGTTATAATCACGTTAACTTTGATTTGTTAAATCTGAACTCTGAAGGACCGGTCTCAATTTCCATATAATGAAAACTTTACCTATAACGAGCTCAAAATTCTCAAGAGTGTCATTGGCAATTATATAAAGACAGTTTTTAAACTCAAACGGATAGATTGTAAAGATAGTGGCCAATCTTGCAAAAGACGATTGCTGAAATAAATTTTAAACATCTGTTATCAAAATTAAATCGTTTATTAGTAAAATGAAGATAATAAATAATAGAATGTATACGAGAAGCCCGGCAGTTGTAAATATTTTGTGCCATATACATGATATAAATCTTGAAATACGGTTAGGGCCATCGTGGTTTAACGCTACAATCCCTGAGGGCGACAATTGGATCTTGTGTCGCCATTGTCTTCATCGTATTTCAGCACTGTCGTTAACACACTGTGGTCGTAGTGTTGCCATCGCGTTAATTGTCGAATATCGCCTTCTGGTACAAATACTCACACCCTGTTTTAGTATCTGAATGGGCGGTTATAAACTGATGTATAATAAGTTGACGATATCGAATATTTGAAAATGATTTTACTTTTTTAAATAGATTAATTTTGTTTTTTTTCTTTTTTGTTTACTGAAAACGTCTGAATACATGTAACATTATAAATAAATACTTAGTATCAATTAATATCAAAAGATAGGGGTAATACTTAACGAGTTATTAACAACATACACGGAATATGTAATAAAATTGTATGAGATTTCTCAGAGCTGGTTGATTTTTTTCATCCGAGTACTAGCCCACATGCCTACACTATATACAGCGCACTAAATTGATCGAATGATCAAAATTTTAACGGATATTTTATCTCAAGATTGTTTGAACGCTGTTGTAAAACTTTTTGCGCATGCACATCGAGCGATATTTTTTTATGTTTTATTTGTCATTGACTTATTAAGTGAACCTTTACGCACTTTAACATTACATTTTAAATTGTATTTAACTCGGCAACAAGATGCCACGGTAACGTTATGAGAAAACGTTAATCTCAAACTATCGTGCTTCTTACATCGGAAAGAAGCCTCGCTAACGTTGTATAACAGTTAACTGCCATAAAATTTTTAATCTGCAGTGGCATTTAAGGCAATCTGGAAGCCTAGGACATGGCGTTCGTTCAGGTAGGCCAAAGGTAACGTTTGCACGTCAAGACCGGTACATTAGATATATGTCATGTACGTTAAAGGTTTAAAACTGAGACACTAGGCAAAATACAACGTCATATACATTGTATTCGTGTCCAGTGGGCAAGAGTATTGTTAAGCGATGAGTCAAATTAAATTTCAGTGTTGCAGATTGTATATATAGTATGCCTTTTTTAGCCGTCGAGGTGAGCGTTTTGAAGATAATTGCTTGATGCACAGGCTTTTTATTTCGGGCTGGATAACGGATGAAAGGAAAAAACACCAAAAAAAAAAAAAAAAAAAAACAATTTTAGTCGTCATTCCTGGCAATCTAAATGTCCAAAGTCATATTGACACTGTTCTCCTTCTAGTTGTCCTTTTCTGCGTCAGCGTCAAACAAAACTGATGCACGATAATGCCAGACCAAACACTTCGCTAGACACAACGATTATGTGCTACCATGGCTTGAATCTGGATCTTGGTGGAACAAAAAATCACCATTTTAACAACATTGAATTTGTGACCGTACACTTGCCCTTGTCCAAAAATAGAATATCAGAAATTGAAACACATTTACAGTGAAACAGTGGCGGCTATCTTCGACCGAAACACTGCATCATGTTGGCGGATAAATATCCAAAATATTTAAAAGGTTCCACATGAATAGCGTGAAAAAAAGAAGAAAGAACCCAGTGCAAAGATTTTTTTGTGTCAGGCAACATTTTTGTGGTACGAATGACTACGTCGTTGTTTGAACCATTTTGCTTATGGGAAGTTATATATGTGGAAGCAATGCATCACTTTTAAATCGATGCATGTGGTTGACAAGCATATGCGTAGCTTCCGCAGCTGTTAAGGTGATTTTTTCCTCAGGAACAGTAGGCGACAATCAACAGTTGCCTGAAGAATGATTTAATATGCCCGAAAATACTTCGGCGTAAAATATTACCACCTGGTCATCCGTCTGTTAGTAGTTCGTTGTTTGGTCTGTATCTTTGGAAACGGGACCATTTAGCATAAATGTTAACCATAATAAGATGATGTGCATAGCGTGGGTTTGATCATCATCAGGTCATGGTCATTTTGTATCAATTTTAAAAATTTCGTGTCTACTCTTTATCTTTTGAACCGATGGAAAGTCATATTTATATAACTTATCATGAGGTGATTTGCAGAACACAAGTTTAAGCTTCATGAGATGACTTCATTTATACAGACTTTTAAATGAATACACATTTTGTTGTTATTGTGTGAAACTATAATGCCTAGAGCGAGCTCAGATATATTGCATGTAGTCTGTTTCATTGTCCTTTACAAATTGTTATAAAAGCATGCCCCTTGGTTTAATATTCGCCCGCTCCAGGTGTCACTTGATAGTAAAGACTTATATAAGAAAGGACGTGTGAAACTTATTTCGTGAAATTATGATGACCAGAACTTAGATATTTGGCATGTTACATCATTCTGTGGACACAAAATAACTGGTATAAATGATAATGTCGCTTGGTTCAATATTGACCCCACCCTAGGGTTCACTTAGTGTATTTAGTTTTGCATAGGCAAATACTCTTATACTTATTCTACTGTCACCCTAACTTTCACTATTAAAGTATGATAATTGGACATGGCATTGGCTTGTTTGCCTGTAAAAACTGGTATTAAGCATTCCCCTTGGGTCAAAATTTGCTCGCCTCTTGGGTCATTTAGTTGATATAATCTTGTATGAGAAACCCATTTTAGTCTTTTTATGAATCATCAATGCTAAGATCAAGATATTTAACCATGTAGCATAACATGTAAACCTCTGCAAAACTGATATTTATCATGTCCCTCGGGTCAATTTTGTCCCGCCCGGGATCACTTGATTTAATATATAAACTAATATGGGAAAACAAAAATGCATTTTGGTTAAAAAATGCCTCCACCTTGCAAATCACATAGTATCGTAAGGGTAAACTTTTTTTTCTTGATTGGGTCTCTCTCCTAATTGAAAAATTATGTTTGATTACTCAAACAAATTTGCATTTGGGGGTATGCTCACCACATTTGCGGTGCTCTTGTTCTTACTCCATTAAATCAAATCTAATAAAACATATATGTTAGACAAACAGATTAAAAGATAGCTGATGACGTTATGATAGCTAGTAAAATATGGATACTATGATGTTCCAATACTAATATTTCATTGATTAAACATGTACTGTTAAGATCTCGTCTGAATATAATTTCATTCATGTTGTGTTCTGACTTGAATGTTTCTTTTTCAGTATTTACACATGAAAAATTTGTTGAAGAAATTACGAATTTTCAATACTCGGAATGTGAACAGACGTTGGAAAGAGTATATTGCAAGGCACTTAACATAAGAAGAGGTAAAAAAGGAAAACACAAAATAAAAAATCTAATGTTCCTATATTATACTTATACTGTATACTTGTAATTTTCAAACCAATTTCTTTTCGAATTCATTTAAGTACAACACTTTATATTTAAGCAAAACGTTCTCGACACAAAGAGGGGTGTTCAAATATAAATGCAACTGAAGTGCTTAACAAGCAGTGCCAAAAAATTATCTCAATCCTCTCACCATGTGATATACAAAGTTTTTGTCTTTAATTCATAAATTTAAATGCGATTTCGTACCGCTCAAGCCGATGCTAGGGGGCGTGAGGGGTGTTGCACTTGTTCATTATCCCTCATATACAGACTCAATCAAATCGAGTCTGCAATTTTCATGTAATTTTGTTCTGATTAGTGCTTCTGAGGGATCACATTGTTTACAGATTTTCATAATTTTTTCGAGGTTATACTCTTCAGACACTTGAAAATAGCAGAGTTTTTTTTCGCGTTTGATATTTTCTTTCAGCAAGGTGTTTTTTAGCCTCGGAAATAGGAAAAGCAACATCTGGCGAATAAGGAGGATGAGTAAGCTCCACAACCTATATATCTGTTTCAGATATTTTCGAGCAATGGCTTCTTTGTGTGCCGAAGCATGGTCGAGCAACAACCTAATACCACGGAGACCAGTTGCTGGTCGATTGTTGTTAAAGTATTTCTTAAATTTATGACGGACCTTGCCCTTTTTAAACTTTGCATTTACAGGTTTTATACTTTTGGTACGGCAATTTGAATTGCATAAACTTTATAGGTTAAGAAAATAACATAATTATATGACCTTTTTGACGCTCATGATGCGTTTTGCTATGCAAGGTTTTTTAGTCTCATAAAAGTGAACCCACATTTTATCGCTAGTGATGATATTTGCAAAAAAAATCGATTGTTGTATTTAGAGAACTTTTTCAACCTTTGTTTGGAGATTCTTACACGAGCATGTTTTTGCTCTTTTGTAAGGAGATGGGGTATCCATCTTGCACTTATCCGTTTCATTTTTAAATTAAGTCTGAGAAATGTAGGAGTGGCTCATACAAAGAAACCAACGCATTTAGCTATATACCTAGTTATAAATCTTGCATAAGTAGCAAACAAATCCTTTGACTTTTTCAATCTTTTTTGGCGAAGTTACAGTTTTCGGACGGCGTGCACGATGTGTATCTTGTTCTGACACACCAATTTTTGATTTCTTATACCACCGTGTGACATATGAAAAGATAGTTCATTGTTTCCATAAGCACGACATTTCATTAATTATGTATTTCGCCTCTATACCAAGAATACAGCGCTTCATGATATAGAACTGTATTTTTGTCAGTGAAAACAAAATCTTTTGGTTTAGTATACACGAGTCGATAGCGTTAATTGAGCTATTGTCAAAGCTAGACTGAACTGATTCACACATGTATCTATTGAGAGCTTACACAACTATCTATACGATACATGTACAAAGGTCGTGCAAAACATGTTTAAAAGCGAGATATTGACCTAGTTGCATTCATATTTCAACACCCCTCGTAACAAAAGAAGTTTCCATAAATAAGTCGTGCAAATGGAAAGGGAGACATATGTCTGCCGGGAAGTTATTAGACTTTTGTGACATTTCAAAAAAATGGTATAGGTATTGCAAATAAAATGATATTTTGTTATAATATTTAGACAATTTACAACGACCTCTCAAATCAAGATGTTTATTTAAACATTATTTAAAATCAAAACCTTTTTATGTCAGGTTCACGGCAAAAGCCAAGTCTCTGGCCACCAGGTCCATTTGCAATACCTATGTCAAGATCAGGGTGTCCCGAATCAGAAAATCGTGGATGGAGAAAAGGCGTTCTACACGTAAAGAAACTTGGAAGAAAAAATCTTAAAAAAATGAAAAAATTTGAAATGAACTTTTGTGTTAAACTTCGGAATGATACAGACCTAGATACAGAAAATTGGATTCCTGGAAGATATTCAATTTATATGATTGGAGAGGAATGCCCAGCAGGTTTTTTTATAATATAAAGCTATCTTCAAATAGAATATCAAAGAATAAATTCTAACTGAACATGTCTTATTTGAATAAGCAAATGCACAAACCATGTTTTAAAAGCTTAATTTCATATGGTCGATAAACTTGATTAGATTTTCTTTCACAAAACTGCAAGTTTTCTGTGTTTTTTTTTTTGTTTTTTTTTTTTACATATGTATTCATACTGTGTTGACCTAAAGTTTGCATGATATATTGACACAACCTTATACATGTGAGCCATCATGAAAAGTGGCAGGAATACTTGTATAAGTAATTGGCCTTTTTATTTCAGAGTATATATCTGTCAAACACCTGGGAATTAAGAGTGATATAAAGGCCTGTATTTATAGAAATTCAAAGATGATCCTGTAATTAAGTAATGTAGATCCTACGCAAATGTGTTAAAACAAAAGTATTCCAAAAAATCAAGATTTTTTTGAAGGCTATGTTCTGAGTCCCTCGTGAAAGATCTTTGTTCGCAGATTTGTTTTTCATTTATCGATGTATATCTTAACCTGTGAAACCTTGAAAAGTATATTCATTGTAAGAAGTTTATGAGATTTGAATAGAAAATATACAATCGAACATATGTGAATACATTATTTTATTTCAGGTTTTAGAAAAGACACAATACAAGAATCCTATCTTCAATATGATTCATTTGGACCTATTCCAAATATTACAGAAATTGGTATGTCTTATGTATCATAGTAAGATTATGACATAATAAGAAATTGGCTGGTGAATGTTATTTACAGAGCATTATGGTTACCAAATAATAGAGACTATTTTTAGTTTTCAAGCTATTCTGGTCATTTTACAAATAAACATTTTTTATTGTAAGAATATTGTTGGATATAAGCTTGGAAAACAGGCAATAATTGTCAAGAACCGGATAACATCTTTTTTAACTGGGGTTAACATTATAGAGTTAAGGCACCTATTCCCGTGATTACCATCTGCAGAATATTGGGCACATTTAAAGCCTGATCCCGCAGTGTGAAGGAATAAATAAGTCCAAAGACTTCTGCAGATGTGAATGCACGAACAATTGTGCTGTACCCCAATTCTTGCACAAAAGTATATGTGTCATTCGTTTTTTGTTTTCGTATAAAGAAATTGCTTTCGTCATACTTTTCACTTGTAAGTGCGATGTAATTTGTCAGTAATGATTCGATTTTGAAAATACCGGGGACGCCATTTAAGTAAGCTATTTGAGTTACGCATATTAAAGCTACCCCCGATACAAAAGGGATCTAAAACAGCTATATAGTATTTTATAATTGTAAAATTTGTAGCTTCCATTACATAAGTGTGACCTGTTACATCTCACTTGAGATATTAACACCGATGTTTATCACACTGGTTAACCGATGGCGAATAGAACAGCTGGTTGTTGATAAAACTTAAAGATAAATTCCTCTTTTATGCCATTTTTATAGACACAACTTTCTATGATATATACTGTGAAGTAATCGATTGCAGGAAATTATTAAACAACAAGTATCTTAAAGTCAAAGTACTAAGCCAAAGTAAACCTGTGTTAAATTGGATACTAAGGTTATTTTGTACTTGAAATTTTAGCTCAGCGTTTCTTTAATAATAACTGTATAACTTATTACGTGTGTAAATTTTCAGTTGCTAAAACATATTTTTACTACAACTGACATAGCGTTTAATGGTTAGATCTCGGACACACTGTAAGATATATGTCTAAATGATTCAGTCTTCAACCTTACAATGACGTATTTATGTACACATTCATATGCGTTTCATTAATATGCAACGATATATGTATAAAAATCATGAAATTCAAACTAATTGAATACAATAATATGATGAATAATAAGAGGATATTTTTTCGTTTGCGTGAAATATGGAATATATTTTTACGAAACATGATAAAATGCCACATATTTTCACGAGCCGGTACGGCGAGTGAAAATATGTTAGCAGTAGCATTTTATCATGTTGAGTGAAAATATATACCATATTTCACACAAAAACGAAAAAATAACCTTTTTATTTAAATTCATTATCAAAGAAAATGGTAACGAATTCCCTTGCTTGCTACCAACTGCAATTGTACAGCGCGCAGTAATGTATGCGTAAGCACGCGCTGTTTGGCGCTACATTGTGACGTCATGTAAACAACTCTTTAAACGTCTGTACAGCGTTAATTACTGAATAAAAGATATTGGTGTTCGGATTAATTTTCGTAGTTAGACCATTTTCTATCATGCTAGATAGTTTTCAAAACAATATTCAAGAAAAATTTGTTTTGTATTTATCAGATTTTTCAAACAAAACGGCGAAAGAAGTCCCTTAAAATAAATATGAGTTTTTACTCCGTCCACTTTCATATTTATATTTCATATTTATTTTTAAAAAATATAAAATATATTTGACTGATATAGCACCATATTTTATGGTTAAAATTAAATAATCATGAATAATTAAGAAGAGTTCGAAGCTTTTATGTGGTGTGTTTCAGTGTGTTCATTTACATGAGTTTCCAAATTCGTATTCGTTATTGGTTGTCTCGTCATTACAAAAGTAATTTATACTACAGTTACGTCTTAAGGTTTACACTATAAAATTAATGAAAAATAAAATACGGTGTAAACTGTAATAGTTGAACGATTAATCGCCATTTTATCACCACGTTAAAATATTTTCAAATTTTAAATGTAATATTTTATTCGTTGATGATTTATACTGCGTTTAGGTATACCTGCAGTTTTTATGCAAGGATATTTATTTCTACAATTATGTTCATTTGTAGTACTAAGTGATATTATAATGACATTGATTTGCATGTATTCAAGTGTGTAATAATGTCAATATATATTTTTGTTACGAAAAAGAAAACAACAAAAAACAAAAACACATTTGTATTTCAGGGACATTAAGGAAAAAGATATTGAGAATTGGTATTTGCAAAAAGATCGGTAATAAATCAACGGGAAACAAAAAGGCCAGTAATGTTACATACAGAATGTTAGAAACGCCCTTTATGGTTTTGAAGGTAATGGTGATGTAAACTTATTCCATCTTGTAATTGATTGAACAGAACTAAAATTAAGTGCGTGCACTTTATCACTATTTATAAAAAACTTTAAAAAAAAAAGAAATAATCAGAGAAATTTCAGTGCTTAATTAATTAAGTGTTAACAAATTGACAAATTGAGACACTTTTTGTGTTACTCTGCAAATAGATATACATGAATTTGAAGCTCACGGTTATGCAACAAATTCATACATACTTCTGTTTTCTGTATTTGGTATAATCAATGTTGAACAATAAATACTTATGGTTATGCCCAGAACAGGAACCCTAAAGGAAATCTTTTAAACTTTTCTTAAATGAAAACAAAACATTTTCATCGACAGTATGTTATCTATAAAAACGCAAACAAGTGATATTACTATAGCAGTTTTCCATTTAAATTTGGAATTGTGGCAAGATGCTAAAAAAAACAATTCGAGTAAAGGTTAAGATCAAAACTAAAACATTTTGTGGTCAGCAGGTCCAAATGTATCAAGGATAATGAGCAAACGCTTTGAAAAATATTTTTCGCATTCTACTATCATGAACCATTTGTGTTGCCTAAACACTAAATTCATTGATATTATTTACTGTATAAATTATATCACTTTTTCAAAAAAATAATTTAGGCGTGCCAGATTAATTTGACAACAATCTGTTTACCGCTGTCCCACTGTTCCTTTACTTCTATAACCAATCTATTCATTACTTTCAAACGACGCTTTACTGAACTGCTGAATTGATAAATGAAATAAAACCTTTTCTTCTGTAACTAAATCGCAATAGAAGAATTATTAATGATTTTAAATGGTCTTATTGAAATATTTAGGGGTGTTAAATAGGCTATCGTATTTATAAAGAACCAACATATTTTCGTAACTTTTACAACACAATGATTTTTTTTTTTCGTTCTTTTTGTTTGGTCGGGTTTTACATTGCACACAGACAGATGAGTAACAGTGCGACTTTCCAGCTTTACCGGAGGTGGAAGACCCAAGCTAGCACCTGAGTAGAAACATGGACATTTCGGTAGCTTTCCCATATGAAATTATCCAATGTTCTTGGCCATATTCGGACCAACAGTTGTGAAGGCCAAGTGATCAGTGTTATTTGTGCCTTGTGGCGTCTGTGAAAAAGTATCCCCGTACATTTAATCAAAGATGTTATATTTTTCATCCTTGAATATCGTTCAGCACGACATTATTGTAATGCATATGTGTTATGTGGTATTTTTATAGTTTCTTCTATTTCGGATATTTTTGATAATGCATAATCACCCTAAAGGTTATGTTGCCTGCTTTTTAAATTTGTCTTTTTACGTCTTGTCTGTGATATGCAGGCTTGATAACCTCTGATCCCTTTTTATTTAGTATAAATTTTATTTTGTTCCGCCCATTGTTTTCTCTTTAGGGTACACTCATTCTTTTACTTGGGTTCCATATGCCGCTATTTCATGAAATGGCACTACGGTGTTACAGTGAAGGTTCCATATTAACCGCCGTATGAACACATCTTTAGATGTTTCTAAATTCCAAATTGAACCATATTCGTGATTAAATGCTGAATTTTGCTTTAGCCGGTGCTAGAAGCGGGACGGTTACTTGCACTTTCCAATACCTTCCGAGAAAGGCTCAATCAAACCGGCCATGACTATTTTCAACTTTGCTGTGTTGTGCTTTCTTTTGGGATACTGTTTTTCTCTTTTTTAAAGATATCCTAATAAATTACATAATGTATTGTTTGAATTATGATCTATTGTTTACAGTTACAATACAAATATATATTCAAACTGAAATAAAAACAATTGTACGTTTGTTAACTTACTACCAATCATTAATTTTACAGAAAAAATCTAGACCTTGCCCAATGGAATTAATCATTCTCCAAGATAAGAACTATTGCGGCAATGAACAAGGTTTGTTAGAACTATTTTGGTACATTTTTAATGTAAATAGATTGAAATTTTTTAATACTTGTAAACAACATTGCAATATGAAGTTCAGTAAGCGTCGCTTATAAAACAGTGCGTTAAGTATTCCAAAAAGTAAGAGATATTCAAGCCATAAAAAAGACCTATTATGCTTAGGGGTACTGTGTGCAATATTTCATCGGTTGATTTCAGAATAAAAATTAATATGCCCATGTCGTGTTTAGAACGATTATTGAAACGACTTATTTACACTTTACAAAATAATGTAGGATTATTTTACCACATGTGTACCCATATAAAGACAATAAAGTGTTTTTTAAAGTTAACACAACAGACAAAGATGTGACGTCAATAGATAAAACGGCATCATGAAATTATCACTCCGCTTACTTGCTACTGTATATCTAGTAGTCGTGTCATAGTTTTGTTGTTTTCATAAATAATGATGAATTATGTTGTGAAATTAATCATTCGGGTCTTCCGATTTTCAAATAAAGATCTAACATCTGAACTACGACATTCGTACGCAATTATACAACAACGCTTTCAAAGTAAATATTTATTATGATTTCCTTCTAGTATGATTTTACAACAACGCTTTCAAAGTCAATACTTACTTCATAATAACGTAATGATTACCTGCTCGTGTTATTCTACAGCAAAATGTTCAAAATTAATATTCATTTCATAATTACGTAATGATTACAGTTGTGCATGATTCTACAACGGTTTCAATGTAAATATTCATATTATACCTGCGTAATTATCACCTTCTTTTACGATTCTACAACAAAGCTTTAAATTTTAAGTAGATTTATATTTCATAATTACGTGATGATTACATATGTTAATGATACTACCACGCTTCCAAAGTAAGTATTTATTGCCTTATTACGTTATATAACTCATATTACATTTTACATCAGCGACATCATTTGACAAGTGTCGCATTTTGTGACACATGTGAAATCTTCATTAAACTTTAGGTATTTAGAATACTTTCAGATTGTCAATCCATTTAATATAGATTTTCGTTAATAATATCTACCTCAAATTTAATGCTCTTGTACATGTATTTAAGATATAAATTGTATATAGTTTTGAGTTTCATGCAAATTTCCAACATCTTATACTTTATTTCAGTGGTAAGGAGATCATTTGAAGCACGTAAGTAAAATTTTTATTTGTTCATTTAACCATTTACCTCATGAGCATATTGTGAAAAATGGCCGTTTTCATTAAAAAGCCTTATGCTATGAAACAATAAAAAAATGATTCAATAATGGTAAAACTTGGCACAATGTTGACTGGACCATAGCCTCTGTAACAGCATGCTCAATCTGATATTTTCTGTTACCTTTGCAACGGGAGACATCTTAAAATTGCCAAAAATCACTTTTTTTGCATTGTTTTTTTTCCCCATCAAAACTGACTTCAAAGTGCTGCAACTTCTCAATGGTTTGAGATAGAGTAAAAGACTTTTCAGCGTTGGTTACACGTTACCTTACAATCGACCTGAGACCATTTTTAACCTGTGACATGTTTAAACTTTTCTCGGCCGAAAGTGATCAATTTTTTTAACAACATTTCTCAAACGAAAAACAGTGTTTGGGGTCTAAATAGGGTACGTAGTTTTTTACTGTTTGAGGCCTCAAAAGGGGGGGGGGGGCAAAACGCCGTCAAAACACGTCTACATGAAGTAAAGGGTCAATACATAGCATGCTGAAGGCAACTTATTTCACCCATGCGACCAGTGCAGTTCAAGATATGCCGTCATACCCATTGTGTCTGTACATTTTGTTTAAAAATCGAAAACAATTAAGCACGGTTACTTTGGACTTAAACATGCACATTGCCATAAAATATATATAGCGTTGGAATAGTTAAATTATATAACGATTACTGAAAAGGAAATGCATGATATAATGTCGTGAAATGTAAGCTTATTATCGTTCAGAACAAAATACATCTATCTGACTGATTGTGCTTAAAAGGAAGTTATGAATGGTTGGCCATCCAACATTAATGATGACATCAAAATGGCAATGAATTGAATAGCAGCACACATAAACAGACCGATACCAAGTCATATTTTCCAAGCTTATTTTCTTATTTCATAAGAAGTTTAAAAAAAAAACGAAATAAAAAAGTGCAAAACACTAATTTGATTTGTCCGCGGTACCGCAGTTTCAATCTTAAAAATATGTTGTTTTTTTTTAAATATTCGGGCCACGGTTTTGAAGCTATGCAGTACTCTAAATTGAAAATGGTGAATCGGTGTAATGCATTCTCGATTTATGTCATTTTCATGCTTTTACCGGCATTTGGCACTTCTTGTAATTTTATATACTTAATAAAGAAAAACATGGATTGTCTTAATCTGAAATTAAGTTCAAAACACAGATCAGAAGAGATGATCCTTATGATATGGAGTGAAGCTCGAAGTCTTTATTGATTTTGTATGAGGCAGTTTGAGCAAGTGTTACTCTCCGCTAAATTCACCATTGTTATAAGTCTTTTGTGCTGTTGGCTAACAAATTCTGCGCAATTTCATTTAAAAATGAAAACAAGCACTTTCAAGCTTTCATAAACACTTTAAAATACTTGTTACTTTACGTTAAGCAAAAAATGATGCAATGTTTCACATTCTAACACGATCTGCATTTGACATGTGACGTGAACACAAGACATGTGATGTAAGAACTAAAACTGCGACCCGCTGGAAATAAGTACGGACACAAATGAGGCACAATTTAGCTTAATATCCGGTATGGCAGCACTTATTTGTTGATGTCATGTTAGAATCGAAATAATCTATCCAAATCGGTGATTCTATCGATTCATAAATTCACTGTTTGGGATATATTATTTCTTAATTTTATTTGTTTATAGTTAGCTTTATTTCCTTATTACACATACATTATATATGCATGTATACTGGACCTCACGTTCGTTGCCATAAATTATATAATGTTGCTTAACCCATTACTTCATGATCATTTTGTGAAAAATGGTTGTTTTCATTGAAAAGTCTCGCGTTACAAGTTCAAATTGTTATAAAACTATAAAAAAAACTGCCTCAATACTAATCAAACTTGGCACAAATGTTGACTGGACCATGGTCAATGTAATGACATGCTCCGGCTTAAATTTCCTGTTACCATGGCAACGAGAGGACATCTCAAAATTGCCAAAAATCACTATTTTGCTTTGATTTTTTCCATCAAAATTGATTTCAAACTTTTCGATGGATTGAGATAGACTCAATGCTTTTAAGCGTTGGTTACACGTAACCTTTGTATTGATCAGGGGTCATTTTTAGCCTCTCGCAAGTCCAAAATTTTCTTGGCGATGAGGGGGACTGCCGCCCCCATTCGAACCCCCCAAACTGAAAGGGCACATCCCTCTTCTGGCAACCCCCTGATGTATCTTTTGGTTGGGGGCTATCTGAGGCCTATAAGACGGGGGGTCAATGTGCGTTGTTTCGCGTATATATGAGGTGAAGGGTTAACAAGTTGAACAAAATAGTATTAAGCAAACCTCCTGCGAGCTTTGTGAAAAGGAAAAATAGTATATATGGCAAATATTATATGATTATAATGGAAAAGGTTTTAGCACAAGACAAAATCATTTGAATTAATGAAATTTAGATTTTTAATTTTTTTATTCGCGCATTTGATTAATTCATGTTCTATTCGTGCTGACGTTATATTTTTCTTGTGCACCATATAAATAGAATATAAATGGTAATGGCATACTTTTAAGAAAGTGAATGGCCAAAATGCGTTCCAGAATAAAAAAGGAAATTCCAGATGTCCTTTTTCCGGGGGTCGACCTACAGACACTTTTTCAGCAACAAATTTACATGCAGAGAGAGATAGAGAGAGTGTATGTTGACATAGGGGAACAATTCCCCTATCTTTTAAACCTCCGACGAAACGCATTGCACCTGTTCGTTCTGCGGATAATATTCCACTATTTTCTATATGGGTTTATTTTCTAAGGATAATGTTGGAATCGTTGCTCGGAGTTATTTGATGAATAGTCATAGAGCAAAATATTTCTCTTACTTTTAAACAGTCAACATTAATGCCTTAAAATTGAAGACGACCAATACTTTTTTAAAATATGAAATAGGAGGGTTAAAAACCTAATGCAAAAATATCTGATAATTTTTCGGTACATGCTTACCTACTTTTGTTTGAAAATATATAGTAGAGAAAAGAAATCATACAATAATAATTCACATAAAATAGATAAAATAATAATGGGCTATATAAAATATGATGACATTTATCTATTAAATATGTCATCAAATTGTTAAGGACATAAATATGTGAATCAAATAACCCTTCACGTTTACTTAAAACTATAAGCATGTTTATCTTGATGCTATTGTTTATACTATATTAAACATGTAATGTAAAACATATTTGTATTTATTTTACACGTATAAATAAATCATTCAGAAATATTGACAAAATGTAATGCGTTTTTATCATTTTCCGTATTTTGTCTGTATAAGCTTTCTTTTACTGCAGTTTATTTTTAGTCAATATGCATATTACAAATAAATAAAAAAAGAGGGCTATAATAGCTGCACTCATTTTAAAACAGAGGGAAGAATATATTTGACTGAAAATTTACTATTTTCTATAATTACGGTATTTGAGCCGCGTCACGACAAAACCAGCATAATGGGTTTGCGACCAGCATGGATCCAGACAAGCCTGTGCATCCGCGCAGTCTGATCAGGATCCATTCTGTTCGCTTACAAACTCTTTAACAAGTACAGAAACTGATAGCGAACAGCAAGGATCCTGATCAGACTGCACGGATGGGCAGGCTGGTCTGGATCCATGCTGGTCGCAAACCCATTATGTTGGTTTTGTCGTGACACGGCTCAATTTTATTTTCATTATGATTATCAATTTATCATATCTTATCCGTGTCTTCAACGACTGGTGAAATATTTATTTTCATACCTCTCAATCAAGTAAATAGTAGGGAAAAAACACCTTAATATCCTCTTTTCATTATATTCTTAAATATCCTTAATATTGCATACATAAGATGCGTAGATAATTATTTTTCCTGTTTTTAAACTTTCAGAATTTATTTTTTACAGCAGGGAAACTTATTCCCGTATTTTCACTAGTGTCTTGCCAGACAACATTTTTCTGAAGTCAGCCACATCACAAAATTAAAGCATTGTCTTTCAAATTTTAAAAAGTCGAACATGAGAAATTGTATATAATAAAATGAATTTTTTCTCTCTAAATACATGATTAATTTTCACATTGTTGCATGAAAGTTTTGATATTTCACTCGTCGTGAAATATCTATTTTCATACTAGAATTCCTGTATTTATAGAAAGAAACTTAACCATCACCTATTTAAATTGAATCATCTTTTATCTTCTATAGGTAGCGTATTAAAAAACAAATGAAAATGATTTCGTCGTCACTTATTTATTATTTTATTTTTAGTACGATACATGTGTAATTCATTGTCCAAGATATGTTTGTTAATTGCTGAAAAATAAAACAACTAAAATAGAGAAGCAGCACTTGGTGAAATCTAGGTATGGTGTGATATCTTGTTGTATTTTTCTATTACATCAGTTTCTTCACATCAAAGATCCTTTATCTGAAAACAAATATTGAAACAACGGTTAATCGTTGTATAATACAACCTAGTTTAACTTCATCATTTGTTTTAATGATCACAAACATTTGAATGAAATAAAAGAATAAAGTAACTTCATTTTTGTATGGATTTATAAAATGTAAAACCAGATTCTGTATTTATTAATTTATAAAAAGCTTAAACTTAACGTAAATAAGAAAAATGACTCCCATACGATGATTTCATAGCATATGTATTTCATTCATATAATTATACAAGGATTGTATAAAACATATCTTCCTTACACTTTCCCTGTACACTGACATTTGCTTAAAGTATTATTTTAATATTCTACAATAAAATGAAACAATAAGTGAAAATTCTTGCAACCTGCTGCTTTAGCATAGTATAAAGGTGTCATAAATATAAAACAGTAAGGGAATAACTCCGCCTATTTTTAATCAAACGCTTGAATCGTTCTAGCTAATAATCCAGTAAGATCCATAACAGCTGATGTAACCACAACTGAGAATTCATTAATAATTTATCGGCTAGTCGAAGTTCATGACCTCGTGTAAATTGTTTACAAGTGTCTGCAATTTGTAACAATTTTCAACATGGTTAATGAAGATACGACTTTCAGCGAACTTATTTGTTATTTTCTTCACATGGCCTATAATAGATACAAGAAAATACGCATTTAAAATAATTTTATTCTAAATATTTTAATAATATCGTTTTAATCGCTTCATTATTATGTTTTTATCTTTTTTTGTATCAATATTCTTACAATGTGCAAAGATAAAGAAAATGTTACTAAATCATTTATATTTTTTAAAGAAACAACAGAGATTTCTTCTCAGTTTTTATTTCCTCATTGAAAAGAAGTTTTTCGTCTTTTGGGTCTTAATATGATCGATAATCGACATAAAATGATGTACAATGAACATATATTGCATAAAAAGTCAACTTATTAAATCATGATAATGATAAATATCATATCGCCTGAACAGAAAAACTGAAATTAATACCTTTGATTTGCATTTGATGATCGCATAATCTGTCGCTCTATTTAAGGTAGCTCGCTACTTTCCGACCGAAATATGACAATATCTCAGATCTTGATGATTTTTGGTATACAGACATGTAGATATGTAAGCTTTACTTCTGCAGCATTATTTTATAAATAAACAGCGTTACTATGACGTCAAAGCGCCCTCTATCGGTGGCGGCGAAATTGCGTCTTTTTTATCAATAAACCGGTCTGTTCTTATCAATTTTCATCCGATTTCCTTCATTTTAATTTTATAATGTTCAGTAAATGTATGTCTTTGTAACGATGTCTTCCTTGAACATTTGCTTAATACTCTGCGATTCTACGTTATTTTCCCTCACGTTCTGACGTCCATATTCGATGCAAATATCGCGCGATATCGCAATAAAGATTGTGAAATAATAAAAAATCAACACGGTGAATTTTGCTATAATTTTTTTAACATGTAGTGAAGTCATAAAAGAAAATATTTATGCAATAAAAATATAGGGTCAACGCGTAAGATATTTTGCTATTACTATTTGAATATAAAATAAAGGGTGAGTAAAACGTAATGATTTTGGTGACGTCAAATATTTTTCTCAAGGAAATTTTCACGACTTTTTCGATAAATATCATACTGACAGGAATAAAAATGTGTGAAAACCATCAACAACAATAGTATTTAGACATGTTCCGTAAAAATGTTTTTTTAAAAGTCCTGTCAGATGCCTGCATTTCGATGAATATCTTCAATTATATACATGTACAACAAATCAGGGTATAACTGTCTGCAAAAGTTGGTATCAATCTCTGAAAAACTGCAACGTATGGATATAAATACCTCGAGGACTGAAAGACAATTCAGAATATTGAAAGATATAATTAAAAGGCCACCTAAATGGAAATTATAAAAACATAAATTTTGCAAAGAATGTCAGAAAAAAAGAATGAAAAGGCTGGTGCAGTCGCAATGTCATCATGTTATGTGTATCCAGGTACAACATAAACTTCCATGTTATCATATGTAACAATTTTGAATTGCATATATCAGTTAGTAGGAACAGAGACATAGATAACATATATATATATATATATATATATATATATATATATATATATATATATATATATATATATATATATATATATATATATATATATATATATATATATATATATATATATATATATATATATATATATATATATATATATATATATATATATATATACGTCTCTGGTAGGAAATGAATCAAATTTACGTTTCAAAAATATATGATCAACTGGAAGTAGCAACGATTTGTACGTAAGTCATGATTCACTGGTAGTCTTAATTATATTATAAAATCTAGCAGACATTTAATTCAAAATTTTCTACACGTATAAAAATCTATTTATTAACAGCCATTAGTTATTCTATTTTCTCTCGCAGCTAAATACCCTGCACTAAGCGTGAGACTCAGATTTAAAGCAGGAATCACGCTCTCATGCTCTGGCTTTAATTTATCACGTATTTCACATAATTACAGATATTCTTATTTATTTCAAACTAGCTGACTCGCGGTATGCGTTTACTAGCGCATCTTTGAGGCGACCTGAAGCCGTGATCATTTCTCGATTAGAGGCGAAAGATCCGTTGATTTATTTTGTATGTTCAGAAGCGGAGAATTTTGCATATTAAATACAGATTCCCTTGTATTGAAGGCGATTATGTAGGATTCTCAATTTGTGTGATTATGGTTGTGGGAGAAGCTCGTTTTTTGTCTGCACATAATGCAGTGCTATGTAGAGCCTATGAAAATAATGAACTATGCATTTTATGTTTTATATCTTCTTATTTTTTTAATATTGTGTTTAACGCCGCTTTCAACAGTATTTCAATTATAGCGGAGGGAATTTAACGAAACCAGTGTTTCTCACAGTATCAACTTCTCTTTGGAAATGAATGACAGGAGTCCGAGGTGGACCTTGAAACATTTCATACACAGTAAACAATTCTAAAGTACAATACGCAATCGTGTCTCGAATCCATGCCTTCCGAATTCAGCGTAAGACCACTTTACCGATTACAACGTGGCAACAGAAGAATATTCAAAGTTAAAAACCTGATTATGATCTCCCTTAATAAGGGAGAAGTCCATTTTATTGCTAACATCATAAACACGTGTCTTTGGTGTGTGTTTTGAGGTTGTTTTTTTTTTTGTTTTTTTTATTTTTTTATTTTTGTTTTAAAGCAAACTGTATTGTATTAAAAAATGAACAAGATAACGTCAACATAATACATTATTCGTATTCAGTGGTAACAAAAGTTGCACAAGTTATTTAATAATTATATTTTGTATTTAATTAAAATATACAGTATAACCTTTACAGAGAAATGCCCTTTGTTGCCTAGAGTGGTTGCTCTACAGAGGTAAAATGTAGTGGAACTCTTTAGAAATAAATAATACTTTGAGGGCCGCTATGTTATACTGTAATGAAAAAGCGGTAATGAATCCGAGTTGAGTAATGGTTATATTGGGTGTTTCACATTCGAGTCTGCAGTTGCGAATATGCTTATATATTTTTTTTATTCAGTATGATTTTGCTTCCAAAATAGTTTATAGTTTGTCACATAAGTGCTCATTTTCTAATTATCATGACATTTTAATTAGATTATTATTGCGCAGACTTAAAAATGGTTAGCAAAAATAAAAATAAAATAAAGGTTTTTGTTTCTTGTACAGTTTGTTTTTAAATATTCTTAAAGGGACTCCACTGAGGTTGAAAAGACAAACACATAACATTTGAATTTCTTACATGAATGAGCTGGGACACTTTAAACAGAAATATATGCGAAGATAGTTAAGAAATATACTTTGAAATAAATTGAAAATCGTATTTTTATGCTTTTGTTAGCCCGATTTGGGTGAAAAGCGTTTAAACGCTTTTCATTTTGAATAATTATTCTGGAAAAACGAAGTGCGCGAATGCTCTGAAATTTTGCACAAAGATTAATGGTCTAAACCTACATCAAATGGTACATTTATCTGGAAAAAATATTTTCAGTTCCATGTCAAAAAACCTCAGTGGAGTCCCTTTAACATATTTGAATATTATTTCTGAATTTTATTTATCACTTATTTCGGCACATTTGTATGCATATCTATTTTAATTGTATTTTTACGATGTGTTTTGACACCGAGGCTCGTTTGCCTTTGTGTGATTTTATGAAAGTGTTTAAAGGCTGAATGTAACGCAAAATAAATATTCTACGGGTATAAGCTAAGCGACCTAATATTCTTACTTCATTCATACAGCAATATGTGAATCTTATTTTTTGCGCTGAAACTAGTTAATTCATATAATAATATAACACTTTAACAACATCACATTATAAAATTAGAATTAAAAGATGTATGAGACTGTGTCCTGCAAATTAGGAAAGTATTTAAAAAGGGGTTGTCGGATTAAACATTGTAAATGTGCTCATCTAGCGCATGTTTTCAATGAGAAAATAATCAACAATTTAAAAAATATACATTTCATCAAGTCCCTGTGTTGTTTATATAATGTTTGACGTAAGAAAATTGTTATTTGGTATTATTCTTTGAACTCCAACATCATTTAACATCACCAAAATCATAACGTTTCACTCACCATTTATTTTATTTTAAAAAAGTAATAGCAAAATATCTTACGCGTTGACCCTATATTTTTATTGCATAAATATTTTCCTTCACTATCTCACTACACGCTCGGAAAATTATAGCAAAATTCACCGTGTTGAATTTTTTTTATTACACAATGTTTATTGCGATATCGCACGATATTTGCATCAAATATGGACGTCAGAACGTAGAGAAAAATGACGTAAAATCGCAGACTATTAAGTAAATGTTAAAGAAAGACATCATTACAAAGACATACATTTACTGAACATTATAAAATTAAAATGAATGAAATCGGATAAAAATTGATAAGAACAGACCGGTTTATTGATAAAAAAGACGCAATTTCGCCGCCACCGATAGAGGGCGCTTTGACGTCATAGTAACGCTGTTTATTTATAAAATAATACTGCAGAAGTAAAGCTCACATATTTATATGTTTGCATACCAAAAATCATCAAGATCTGAGATGTTGTCATATTTCGGTCGGAAAGTAGCGAGCTACCTTAAGTGTAGTCCATTTGATTATAAAACAATAACACGCTACCACATCCTAATAAATGTTGTATGCATTGTACTTCTGCACATCATGTTTTCCATTACGATGAGATAGCTATACTGTCCGCTTAATTCGTTCCAGATATTAAATTACGCGTCTGAATGTTCCGGTAGCAAATTAGATGTAACACCTTAGTATAGACGATTACCGCGATTGTGTCATAAAAGGCACGGCAGCGAGTATTTGTGGGTGTGACTAATCAGTGATGTAAAACTTTCTGTTATAAACCCTGAACTATAAATAGCATGCAGTGTTAACCTGCAGAGAGAATGTAAACAAAAACAGCTGATTTTACACAGGAGAGGTTTCAATGGTAGGATACTACGTCATCGCGCACCTGCTGAATGCTCCCACTTGGACCATTTTTTCGTCGATTCGAAGGTAAAATACAATTTTATTATAAGAAAACGTAAGAGTATTAAAAAATCATGTAGCGCACCAAAGAATGGCTATAGTACTTGAGATAATTGTAAAAAAAGTTTATAGATTTATTGCCCTGGTTTTAAGCCTGAAAAACGGGGATAAGTGTTTTTTCTCTGAATGCTCCCACTCGGACTTTTCCCGAAACATATATGAAAATAAGGTTGAAAACCTTCTTGAAAATTATTTTTAACGTACCGGAACATAAAACCGAGTCATGTTTATCAATTTTTCTATATTAGTTTCAAATATTTCTATTCAGAAATCAGTTTTTTCTTAATTCTTTTTATAAAAATGGAAAAATGCTCCCACTCGGACTCATCTTCAGAGATGCTCCCACTCGGACCTAAATATATACAAATTTTGAAAACACATTGCTGTGTTAAGAATTTATATTTTTTTTCAAACTATC